ACCATATTTTTACCATATTTCGGTACAAACAAAAGAAATATGCATTCATATTTTGAGATGCTGCTCCATATAGCTCACACTGACCGTGAGCTGTGCACAGGGAAGCATACACTATATGGCCAAAAGTATGTGGACACCTGACAGCCTCACAGCCATAGGTAAGCCTTCCTGAAACTGTTGCCACAAAGGTGGAAGCACACAATTGTATAGGATGTCTTTGTATGCTGTAGCATCAAGATTACACTGGAACTAAAGGGCCCAAACCTGTCCCAGAAATGACAATGCCCCTGTGCACAAATTAATTAAATATTATCCCATAAAGACATGGTTTGCCACGGTTGGTGGGGAACAATTTGAGTGGCCTGCACAGAACCCTGATCTCAACTGCACTGAACACCTTTGGGATGAATTGGAATGACAGCTGTGCACCAGGCCTTCTTGCCTGACATCAGTGCCCAACTTTTTCATGTTCTGGTGGCTGTCAATGGGCAAATCCCCACAACCACTTTCCAAATCTAAAGGAAAGCCCTCTCAGAATGAACAATTCACTATTAATGCCCATGGTTTTGGAATGGGATGTTCAATACTCAGCTGTTCACATACTTTTGGCCATGTTGTGTATCTCTGCTGGCTCTTTAAAAATTAATTTTAAAAAATTATCTTTAAAAAAGATTTTTAAAAAAAAAAAAATAAAACAACCTGTATGTTTGCTGTGTATGTTTTTTGTCCTTAAATTATTGTTCTCTATTGTTATTAAAAGAAGAAAAAATTGGAAAATTTTAAAGTCATAACAAAATGCTGCTTAAAGGACTTGCAGAAGCACTGCATCCCAGCTCTGTGTGTGTGTGTGTGTGTGTGTGTGTGCAAATGCCCTCATGTTTGTCCTTTGTGTCTCGTACAATAAGAGAAAGATGTTTGTGAGGTAAACAGGAGGCAGTGTCTGAATGGGATGCACTGGTAGACTGCTTAGTTGTTCTAAAGGAAAAAGAAACAGAAAAAGAAAGTGACAAGAAAAGAGAGAGTCTGTGCTTGGCCTTGTCTCTATAGTAAGAAAGTTTAGAGGGTAAAAAGTTTTGTAGCGCACCAAAAAATAATGCTCTACATGGTAAGGGAACCAAACCTGCTGGAGTAAAACAACAACACAAAGGGAGAAAAACAACAACAATATATAAAACAAATATACTGTATATCTGGTCATAGGATGCCATCTTTGCCATGAGTCATGTGAATTTTTTTTCACATGTTTGACAGTGTGAAATTTTTGCCCTGTTAGATCTGCCCTGGTTAACTTATTATTGTAAAATGGAAGCATCTAGGAGCAACAACAGCTCAGCCACGAAGTGATAGACCATGTAAACTCACAAAGCAGGGTCATAAAGTGCTGAAGCGCATAGCACGTAAAACTTGCCCATCCGTTGCATCACTCATTGCAGAGTTCCAAACTGCCTCTGGAAGCAACATCAGCACAAGAACTATGTATCAGAAGCTTCATGACATGGGTTTCCATGATTGCGCAGCTGCACACAAGCTTCACCATACACAATGCCAAGCGTAAGGCAGGAGTGGTGTAAAGCACACCACTACTGGACTCTGGAGCAATGGAAACGTGTGCTCTGAAGTGATGACTCATGCTTCACTATCTGGCAGTCTGATGGAGGAAACTGGGTTTGATAGATGGCAAGAAAACACTACCTACCAGAATGCATAGTGCCAACAGTAAAGTTTGGTGGAGGAGGGGTAATGGTCTGGAGCTGTTTTTGAGGGTTTCAAAAATGTTCTTTTGACTGAATGAGCACAAATCCCCACAATCACATTTAAAAAAGAATCTAGTAGAAAGCATTCCCAGAAGAGTGGAAGCTGTTATAACATCTTAAACCCGGGGGGGGGGGGGGGGGGGGGGGGGGGGGGGGGATTCAAAGGATTCAAAAATCCTTTGAAGTCAATGACTGCCTAAAGTCTGGAAGCCATGGAGATCACCAGATGTTGGGTTTCTAACCCGGAGGTTAGCTCTGCCAGGCCTTTACTGTAACTGTCTTCAGTTCCTGCTTGTTCTTGGAGCATTTTGCCTTCAGTTTGACTTGACTTGACTTTGCCATTGCAGAGCATTCCAATTGTTTGCCCTAAAATAGTCTTGAGTTGCTTTGGAAGTGTGCTTTGGGTCCATCTACAGTGTAAAGTGCCGTCCAATGCGCTTTGAGGTATTTGGCTGAATATGAACAGATACTATAGCCCTATACACTTCAGAATTCATTCTGCTGCTTTTGTCAGCAGTCACATCATCAAACAGGCAAAGGAACCAGTTCCACTGGCAGCCATAAATGCCCATGCCATAAGATGACATGGTATACTTCAGATCATGAGCAGTTCCTTACCTTCTTTGTTTTTGTTATGAGTTAAATTTCAACTCATTACATCATTATTTAATTTCAACTCCAATATACTGGTGTAGACAGTTAAAATAAAAATAACTTTGACAATGTCCAAATATTTATATACAAAGTTATTAGCAGTTATATTAGCCATGTTGGCTATAAAAATGATAAAGAAATGTAATACAGATTCTAAGACTATTGCTGAATACTTTTTATTATTGACTCTGTAGGCTTGGTTCAGGTTGAGGTTAGAGGTTTTGCTTGGGTGGAGAGAAATTATGCATTTAGCATTGCATTTACAGATCTATTGTTTCAGTGTTTCTTTGAATTCAAATTCCCCGACCAGTGCCCTTTGTCTCCTCGGCTAACATGCCACACAGCATCCTTCTAAAATGAATGTTAGCTTGCCCTTCTCTTCTTATGCCGATTTGTCTGTCTGTCTGTGGGTAGACATACAAATACTGTGATTTTACCATAAGTTCTTTTTCATTTATACCCCAAAAGAGCATCTGTAGCCATTCTTTGCCCTTGCAGATAGAAGCATAGCTCAAGGCACACATAAATTAGAACAGTATGTATATAGAGAGAAAGAAAAATAACAGACAAAGAGAATGAGGGAGTTTTTAGTGAAAATACACATGTAAAGCCTTCACTTTTGGCTTGATACAAAGCCTGCAAAGTTGAATTGCATTGGATCAGAGAGGACAGTTACATAAGACAAAAACGATTGTTTCTTGTCAGAAGAGAAACTCAATTTGAATCAATAGTACTGTTTTGCCCACATTTCTCCCCTTTTAGCTGCTGATCCACTGCTTAAATTCCACATACTTTTTTTAAACAGTATAATACTGAGGTTCTATCAACTGGTCTGATGACTTGCTTACTAATCTCGATGTACATTTTTGGAAGGATTTGCCTAATTCTCTCTCCTGGGAGTGCTTCAGCAATTCCGATAATCAGCCTGATGATTCATAGGCCAAGCTTTTCACCCACATGAAGCTTCTCCTGATCTTACTTTCAGAAACTTCCAGTAAAGCATCTCTAAACCATATTTGAAAATTTCTTTGACTCTGCATTTTGAGATTTCTGTCAGCCACATCTATATTTGCAGAATCAGAATGCCATCATCACAATATCAGGAAAAATAACAGGAGAATGCACTACACCATCTTTATAGTCTCAGGGACAGAATTTTTCCATCATATGCAAATTTATTCATCACAGTCATAAAAGGAACTTTCTTATAATGACCTGCCTTTAATTTCAATCTGATTAGCAGATATGCACCATCCACCAAAGAAAAAAGTATTATGATGAAATAACCGTCACATGTATCCCATGACTACAGACATGTTAAAAAGACTAGGAAGAAGTCAGATGAAAACACCTCATCTAATTCTAGATGATGATACAACCATCCCGGTAAGGTTCATGTAAAATAGCATGGCTGTTTTAAATATTATAAATTAATAAGAGCAAACCATTTGACAAGTACAAGAATCAACTATGCAGTAGGAAGTCCAGATATGAGTTTACACTGCTGGCAATATCTAATTGCACTCAGGATTAGAACATGAATATTGGCTATTTTTTCTTGTGTAATACTGAAGGACACTTAAAGATCATAGAAGAAAAGCTATAATCATGCAGAGGTTATGATACCATACGCTGTAATCAGAATGCTTCAGAAAGCGTTGTAAGCATGACAGACATGCAGCTGAGCAGAAGTCATGTATGGACAGATGGTGCAGCAGAAGCACTCAGAGAGGGATGAGAGAGGGATGCTTAAAAATTAGATTTTTCTAAAATAAATAAATAAATCTAGGATTCCCCAAGGCAAGATTCAAAGCATAGCCAGACACGATCATCACAGACCAGGTTATAACCCAATATCGATAGAGTTACAAATAGAACACAGGAAAAAAGTTAGACACACAAAAATCAAGCAAACAAGTATCAACACCCACCTATACAAGATATAAATGAAACAGACTAGATACAAGCACAAACAATGACAATATTATACTGTCATTGAGAAAGTGAGAGGGGGAAAGAGATACTACCATCAAAAAAAGAAGAAACACTAAAGCCCTGCTTTAGTAAGAGACTGCTAATTCGATGCAGTCTGATAAATAGTATGCATTTAATTAACTGACAATATGCAAAGTAGGGGGATATACAATATTTAAATGAGATTTTTGTGTGTTAATTACTCAGATATTAGAAGTTCATGCCTATTTTTGCCTGATTTTACAAATTAACAGTCAATAAAAATGCCTTTATTTCAAATAAATATATGGTGTTACATGAAAATTGAGAGCAACAGAAATAAAGACAATGGTTTCTTTTAAATTACAGTAAGTACAGTGTGGACACTATCCATGAAAACAACTTTTTAGAAATCTTTGTAAATTTTTTAAATAGAAAAAACTAAATACTATACGTTGTTGTTGTTTCGGCTGCTCCCATTAGGGGTCGCCACAGTGGATCACCTTCCATTGTCTGCATATTGATTTGGCACAGGTTTTATGCCGGATGCACATTCTGACGCAGCCCTCCCCATTTATCTGGGCTTGGGACAGGCGCTGAAAGGGCACTAGCCTGTACACCCCCAGTGGGTGGGGTTGGCACCCAGCGTGGGGCTCAAACCCACGATCCTGAGATCAAGAGGCCCTACCAACTGAGCTAGCCGGGCACCAAATATTATACTGTATACAATTACACAATATACAATAAATATATAAATATCATGTTTGAATAAATTGTATATTTCAATACAAAAAAAAAATCAAATATTCAAGACAGACAGAATCAATTACTGTTATATGAGATATCTATAAGAGTAATTGATTCCTGAAGAAACAGCGCTTGCCACTATTAGGTGTGACGTCACACATCAGGCAGCCGGATTTAGAATGTTTGTGTTTTAATGTTTATAATGTTTATTTTCAAAAAGCCTGAACATTCGAAATTCAGTTCTGAAACTCGCGAGTTCGGGATCACACCTGCGACTTCACTCTGAAATTGTTCCTGCTCTGACTTTACTCACTGCTGTTATAGGTAGACTACAGTAACATAACTTGTGTAAATACTGCGTAAATGATTTCAAGTTTCGAATGGTTTCGAGTGAGGATTTCCTGCTGACAGAACATTTGGCCATATTGTGTCTGAAATGTCACAGTTCTTGTTTATAGAACTGCTGTATAAAAGCAATATCGCACTCACAATCATGCGGTTATATTGAATATCGGCATGGATGTGATCTGAGTAACTTTGACAAGGGCCAAATTGTGATGGCTAGACGGCTTGGTCAGTTCATCTCCAAAACAACAGGTCTTAAGGGGTGTTCTCGAGATGCAGTGTTTAGTACCTACCAAAAATGGTCCAAGGAAGTACAACCAGTGAACCGGCGAAAGGGTCACGGGTGTCCACAGCTCATTGATGCACGTGGGGAGCGAATCAACTCTGAGCTCAGGAATATGGAGTGATGGGTAATGGGTAATACCAAAAGTTTATTGCAGGAGGAGAAAAATAACTGTACATCTGGTTTTAAAAGATAAAATGTCATTCTGCCCTATTACTAGCATCTTATTTGAATCATATTCAGTGTAACTGTCATAAAGGTATTTTATGGCACCTTTATTAATATATCAAGATTGTTTGACGATCATGCCTTAAATGATTAAAATAACAAATTTGGGTCATCACAGCTTCTACTGCTGTCTGTCTTCCACCAAAATCAATCTGGTGTGTGTGTGTGTGTGTGTGATCAGCTTAGTCACAGAGTGTGCATAAGAGAAAAGGGAATGAAAAAAAAAATGGCCAGCCAATGCAGAGGAAAATTTCCAAACTTCCCAGTGGCCCCTGACTGAAGGTGCTGGAACGCCACTCCAAATCATTCCGGCTCACTTTAACCCCTGGATGTAACCGAATATGAATGCATTATTCTGAATGAACAGATGTTTTCTAAACAGGTAATATACAGACTGATTACTCAGGAACTGTCAGAGCCACAGACCATACTGACATTCCTGGCTTTTCTACTTGGGTTCATATTGAATTTTTTTTTTTTTAGATGATTTCACTTCTACAGTGTTTAGACCCCTCAGGTGTGGTACATTTGGGAAGGTGAGAACACAGCAATCACACCTGGTTGCAGACCAAAATCACATAGATGGCTGACATTTATGGGCCTTGCTTTAAATACTGCTTATGAGCCACTTTGTTCCCTATCTAACATGGTTTCTGGTCACTAAGGGGAGTAGGGAGAACTACTATCATACAGGGTTGGGGAATCTTTACTTTGAACTTGAAACATGGAACCTTCACATGATCAGTTCCCGCCAGTGACAGTCTTTTTCTGAGAGAACCAAACTAATATGGTTTGTCTCATGTCATATCATGAATGTGACCTAAAGACATGCTCAGTGTATTAAGTTGTGATGCAATCCTAAAGCCCATACAAAATTCTTGTTACCGAGTCACCAATGCAGCAGCACATCACTTCTAATAATGTGTGTCACATTTAACAGTCTACAGTTAAATGTATAAACTTAAGCACAGATAAATGCAAGTCTGGGAGGGGTTGGGGTTTCTGCAAAGGAGAAAAATACTCTTATTGTGAAACTGTGATTGTCATCTAAAATTAAAGGCTGTGCTATTATAACCTAAAACTTTAATTGTGCATCAACAAATCCAGTTTGCTGTGGAGATTAATCTCTTAAATCTTAATTAATCGAGCTTAATATTGACATTCAGCATGGATGCAGAACTTGCACATGGAAAAAGGAGAAAAACTTTGATAAAGTGTTATTTCTTGTGCAGTTACTCCCATACAATGGCTTTTAAAGTTGGTAACATTTGAAGATAAGTAAAGGCATTAGACCATTGGAAAATGTGTGTATTTTATTTTCACCAACCAGAGCGTATTTGTTCCTGACTCTAAGGCAAATATCAAATGCAGAGGAACTGTATTTAGGTCATAAACTCTTCTTCTCGCTGTCCGTTTAATAATCACACTTGGATGAGGTTTTGCTAAAACCAAAATAATATGTATGACACTACATAAATGTTAAATATTTTCCAAATTTAACAACATTTTACAAACCTTGTAGATGGTTCTAAGGGTCCTTGCCATGTTGCTGTATTGTCACTTTTTATCTTTTTTTTTTTTTTTTTCAATATAAAATATTGATGATATTGGTACAAATTTCTTTAGTGTATTATGAACAAACTATAAATGCAAATGCTTTGCAGTTTTGGTCAGTAATGCAAAACACAAATTATGGCAAATATAAAAAGATTTAGAAAAATTTCAAGCAAGTTTTCAGAATTGCAGTAATGGTTAGATGGTCAAACCACAAGATAATTTGACTCTTCTAATAAATGAAAAATGACCAATACATAAAAGAAAAAAGACTGGGAAAATTAAAGTGGGTACATACAGTATATGGGAGATTCTACAATATACTGTATGTACCCACTTTAATTGTCCCAGTCTTTTTATGTATTGGTCATTTTTCATTTATTAGAAGAGTCAAATTATCTTGTGGTTTGACCATCTAACCATTACTGCAATTCTGAAATTTACAGGCCAAAATTTACACCTAAGCGAAAAATATTCAATCTCAGTTTTTGACAAACTTGACAAATTTCACATCAACAGACAATTCTTTTGGCAAGTCAATTATGGCATCTACTTTGTTCAAATCAGAGGTAGGCATAATTTTCCTCAGAGGTAGGCATAAAAAAAGATAGATTTATCTCAGCTTTTATTTATTATATCAGAATTCCAGTGGGTCAGAAGTTTGCATACATCAAGTTGACTGTCTCTTTAAACAGTATGGAAGATTCCAGAAGTTGATGTAATGACTTTAAAAGCTTCTGATTGACCAATTGTCATTATTAGGAATAAATTCAAAGCACACCTGTGGTTGTATTTAGGCCAGTGCATTTTTGCCCTTGATACCATAGGAAAATCCAAGCAACTCAGTCAAGACCTCAGGAAAAAAATGTGGACTTCCACAAGTCTGGTTCAAACAATTGTATGCAAATATAAAAACCTTGAGACCACACAGACACTGCATCATTCAGGAACAAGGCAAAAATTGACTTCAAGGGATGAACATCCTTCAGTTCAAAAGGTTCATGTGAAACCCAAGATAACAAGAGTTGGAGACATCAGGTACCGAAGTATGTATATCCAACATTAATCCACAATATAATGGATAAACTTAAGTTTAAGTAGGTGTAGCTGAGCCTGAGACTATATATTTCTGGATAAACCAAAATCTTCAGTAACCACTTTATTCTGGTCAGAATCAATTCAATTCAACTCCTCACAAACAGAACCCAAGCTCAGGATTAAAGATCAGTGTTTTCCTACAATTCAAAAATTAACCAAAAACAAGATATAAGGACTTCCATCCATTTTCTGTACCACTTATACTACACAGGGTCACAGGGGAGCCTGAAGTATATCCTATTGGACTCACAAGGCAGGGGACACCCTAGACAGGGTGCCAACCCATTGGAGGACACAATCGCACACACACTCAGACACTACAGACAATTTGGAAATGCCAATCAGCCTACAACACATGTCTTTGGACTGGGCACACAGGGTGGAGGCGGGAATTGAACTCTGAACCCCGGAGGTGCGAGGCAAACTAACCACTAAGCCACTGTGCCCCCAGACTTGCAATAGCAAATTAACAGCACAAAAAAGGCAAACTGCATTCATTATTAAATTTACCATCATATTAAATGAAATTAAAAAAACATATAAAACCCTTCTAAATATGTGAACAATCTTTGTTTATTTTAAATAAAGCTGCTCGTGAGAAGGTTTGAGCTTACTGAGTTGGTAGTCTTGCCTACCAGTCAAACAAGATTTTCAAAGAATGAAAAAATCTAGGATCATGTCAAATCATCAGAATTCAGCTCAGCTAACTCAGTTATTCATGTACAAAGAACACCGCCTGTTATGTACACATCATTGAATAACTTTGTATAAAAGTGTCATGGCCTGTTCTTTTAGGCCTGTGGATTAAAATCTGTATTCTCATTTCCTTGTGCTCTTTTCCGTGTGACTCATTAGAAAAGCTGAACAAAACAGAAAGAACGATGACTAAATGAGGAGAAGCTCACATCAAATTAACCAGAATCAGAGCTGAAGTGCCCCGATTTGCTCAGTGCTACCTGCTCAATGTGACCTCCAACAAATGGAGGGAAGGAAACAGTCACTAGTTATGCTATACTGTGCTGTTACATCGCAGAGGGCTTTTACACATACCTGCACTTGCGCACAGACATAAAAATACATCACAGACACCGATGCACACACACGCACACATATGTAAATAATGTACACATACAGTACATGTGCATTCAGGCAATATGGTATTTCTCAGAGACATGCAAACATGGTGGGTTCATCAGGGTCAGCCATTTTGTCTAACAATGTTGCCTGCTTTTCTTTTCCATTTTCCCAGAAATCTTTCTTGTAGGTCAGTATACAGCTCCACTTGTTTTTTTTTTTTCCTTATGGAACAACGTAAGTGTATCATTATTTTTTTGAGCCTGTGCTTATATTGTTATGCCAACAGCCAGCGAGCAGTGTTATGAAGGAGCCATTTAAAATGAAGCACTTTCATCAGTTATTCTGACAGTCAAGACACCTCACTTTTCTCAGCA